TAGCCTAAAAACAAAGGATGCAGCAATTCTCAGAGCCCTCACCATCCCTACAGACGGCCATGTGCCAGCGAATGAGGGCTTGCAAAATTTTACCCTCATAATTCAGGGGAAGGAGATTAAAGCAAAACCATTTTATTAAAAGGGCTTGTGGAAAACCTGCTTTTCATTACAGTTTATCTCCTGAGGTTGTGAGTTGGTTCAATGTCATTTACAGAGAGCAAGTGTTCATGCTCCTGAATAGAATTTTCTGGAGATTTTCTTGTTAATTTTCTATTTCAATTCAATATAAGGCAAGTGTTCACTTTGAGTCTTTTCCTTTAAAGTAGGACAACCTTAAAGTGATTTCGTGAGACAAATTCATGAGCATGAAGTCTTGGGCAGAGAATTCTATGTCCATGGTGAAGGACTGGAGAATATTTAGGCCTCTCAAAATGTAGTGACTGTTAACTCGGAAGGTTTTCTTTTAAAATGCTAAGTTTAGTGAAGACATAGATCAAAACGATGGATCTAGATGTGGGATTTGCTGTCTTAATCAGGACACCTAATTAAAGAAAAGCCTGAGATGAGAATATTGATTGCTGTGATGCAAGTGCATACAAGAATGAATTTTTTACCTCTACAACGACATTAAAAAACATTGGGAAGTACAAACAAGTATCATTTTGTTTACATTTATTTATTAATTTTGTTGGAGAGCATACATGTATCAGTGTATTGTGTGGCAGTCAGAGGACAAATCACAAGAGCCAATTCTCTTCTACCAAGTGGATTTCTGGGATCAAACTCAGGTCATCAGGTTTGGCATCAGTTATTTTTACCCACTAAGTTATATCACTGCTCCTAGAAGTAAGTCCAACAATGCATTTGTGACAAGCTGAGCAAATATGAGTAGCTTGTTTCTATGAGTGTATGCCAAACACTCGTGTCTACCACAGTCATAAAATGCCTTTGGTAGGGAACAAACCATGAACCCTAAAGACTAGGCACCATGACATGTGTCCCAAAATATTCATGGACCATCAAAGAAAAGTAAAGACTAAAGTGAATAAGTGTTTTGATGAATCAACCAGGAAGGAAGGAATAAATTGAATCCTTTTTAATCTACTTTTTTAACTTAATAATTTACAATCTTTTTACATAGCATTCCTCCTGTTTCCTCTCCCTTCCATCCTCCCATGCCCTCTACCTACCCTCCCAACCCACCCCTACCCACTCCCCAAGGACAGTGAGCCCTTCCATGGGGTTGCAGTAAAGTCTGTTACATCATTTGGGGAGGGTGTAGGTCCTCCTCCATGTATCTGGGATGAAATAGTATCACTCCATAGTGAATTGGCTCCCAAAGTCCATTTGTGCACTAGGGATAAATACTGGTTCCAGTGTTAAAGGACCCATAGTCTGCCCAGGCCTCCTAACTGGCTCCCACATTCAGAGGGTTTGGTTTGGTCCAACGCTGGTTCCCAAGCTTTACAACTGGGGTCCATGTACTCTCACTAGTTCGGGTCAGCTGGTTCCGTAGGTTTCTCCAGCATGGTCTTGACTCCTTTGCTCATTACTCCTCCCTGTCTACAACTAGATTCCAGGAGTATGGCTCAGTGTTTAGTTGTGGGTATTTGCTTTTGCTTCCATCAGCTACTGGATGAAGACTCTAGGATGATAATTAAAGTAGTCATCAATCTCATTATAGGGGAAGGGCATCAAAGGCGGCCTCTCCACTACTGCCTAGATTCTTAGTTGGGGTCATCTTTGTGGATCTCTGAACATTTCACTAGTTTCTCTTTAAACCTATACTGGCTCCCTGTATTGAGCTATCTCTTTTCTTGCCCTCCTTTATTCCTCCCCTGACTCAGTCTTTCTGATGCCTCATGTCCTCCTCCCCCCTCCTCTTCTCCCTTCTCTTTTTCCTACTTCCCTCCCCAAAATCTTAACGTTGCTTAGTTTCATAGTGTCTGTGTCTAGTTTTACCTGAATCTTCCTAGCCATGGAAAATACGTGTTATACATGCCAGTGTCTGGCCTTACTCAAAACATAATGCATCAAAATATTCTAGGATTCATGTTCAGACTGGGAATATTTTTAGAAAACACTACATTAATTCTTTGAGAGCTTCATACAATGCACTTTCAACATATTACCCTTTCTCCCCACGTCTTCTCAGATCCAATGTTACCTCACCTTTACTCATCCACCCAGCTTCCAGTTTCCTTTTTTTTTTAAAATCCAGTTCAATTTGTGTTGCCTAACTACTCTGGGGAGTGGGGACTGCACTGGAGTATGGTTGACCTACCAGGGGTCATTTCATTAAAGAAAACCAATTCTTTTTTCCCAGAAGATATCAAATGCCAATGTCTTCTCAGCTAAGTGGTGGGATTTCATGACTGTCCTCTGACTTCATGGTGAGATTTTGTTTAACTTGAGTTTGTACAGGTTTCTGTGTGCTGCAATAACAATTGTGAGTTCCTATGTACAACCCCCCCTAGTGTGCCAATAAACACATTTTCATTGAAGTTATCTACCTCTTTTGGCTCTTACAACCTTTGTATCCCCTCTTCTACAAAGATCCTGGTGTTTTGGAGGAAAGTATGTGATATGTATGTCCTAGTTGAGCACACCATAGTTTCTTATTCTCTATGTGTTTATCACCAGATTGGGGTATCTATTGCAAGAAGAAAGCTTCTATAATGAGGGTTGAGATAAGTACATTTTATGAGTATATTGATATAATATTAGCAATTATTTTAATACTATATCTATTTAAGAGAATAATAGTTTTAGGTTTTCCAAGTAGGTCCCAAGATCTATCCAGCCTCAGGTTTTTGATCCTATTAAAAGGGTTTGGTATGAGTTCCATCTCATGGACAGTGACTTATGTCCAATTAGAAATTAGCTTCCAAAACATCCATGCCACATAACTAGTGGGCATATGAAATCAGGTGTTATTATTCACAGCTGGGTGAGATTAATAATTACTTTTCTCCTCTATTAGCTTGCATAGAACCTTCCAACATTGTGAAAGCTAGCCAATAGGAATGAACCTTCCAGTTCAGAACTATACTGATTTCTTCATATTCTATGATAAAACCGCATGGTATTTTCAGCAATAGGGCATGACCACCAAGTTCTGGAGAGCAAGACTAAGAACATTGGCAATAGCTTGTAATGTTTGTGGGTCTATGGACCACATTGACTAACAACTCAAATACAACCCATTCTAGTACTAGAATTTTATTAGTTAGCATATGGTATCTAGTCAGGTTATTGTTCTCCTCTTACAGTTTAATGCCATTCAAATAATGTGTATATGTGTGTTTTACAAGGGTTCTACAGTACTAAGTTCCCACATGGCTTTAAAAAATATTTAGGATTAGTTATTTTTCCCTACACATGTTCTACCTGTTGTCCCACTTCATTGAATCTTTCCTGTTCTTTCTATCTGTCTGTCTGTCTGTCTGTCTATCCATCTATCTATCATCTATCTTTTTAGAACATGTGAATTTTTAAATCCTTCTTTACAGGTTGCCTAGACCTCTTTTGATTAAGAAAACTGTAGAAAGTCAGTAACCACCACAAGTGGACGTCAGGTGGTGGCACGTGTCAATTTTCCACAGAGTTCTGCTTTGTTGGATATCTGGGTGCAGTGCTCGGGGCTCTGCTCAAACTTGCTGGAATCACTAATGGCAGATTTTAATCCACAGGTTGCTTTTCCCCACATTTATTTGTAAACTCTTCAGCATTCTTACATAATTTTTATGGTCCTTAGAGTATTCTTCAGCTAGGTCAGCTCAGAGTGAGTACTCAGGCTGGGGGTCATTCTCCAGTGCTGTAAGGGACTGGATTACTTGGTCAATCTTGGTGGCTGGCTTCCAGTTTTCAGCACTAATTACCGACAGGCAGATCTGTCACTTCTCATCAATGCTAGGGAGGTAGATCTTTGTTTTAAATGTGATCTTGGGTAGTTTGAACAGACACTCTGCTGGGAAGTTGATTTCAATTCTGAAGGCCCCCTTGTCATATGGAGGGTTGTCGAGAACAATAAGCCCTTGCCAAGTCAATAAATTAGGTTCATCAACCTGGATGTTACAGAAGTTTTTCATTCTACATTTGCAGATCTTTTCAAGCTCCTTCATCACCTCCTGCTTGCTGCCATCTCAGATCTGGTCATCTAATGGTTTTTCAAGACAGGGTTTCTCTGTGTAACAGCCCTGGCTGTCCTGGAACTCACTCTGTAGACCAGGCTGGCCTTGAACTCACCGAGATCTTCCAGCCTCTGCCTCCTAAGCGCTAGGATTAAAGACATGGTATATCACCACTGCCCGACTTCCTGTTCCATATTTTTTACCCTTTCCTCCTTTATTTTAATGGTATTTTATTTTTCCCACCTTGGGATGTACTTTACTAGTATTCCAAGTGAAATACACATATGTAAAGATGCAAAGTTAACATCTGTACATGAGAGAAAAAAAAACATGCTATATTTATCTTTCTGGATCTGAGTAGGATAATTATTTCCAATTCTATTCATTTATCTGAAGATTTCATAATTTAATTTCTTAGGAGTTAAATAACATTCCATTCTGTAAATGTACCACATTTCTATTATCAGTTGACCAGTTGATGGATATCTACATTGTTTTCATTTCCTGTTTAGTATGAATAAAGCAGCAATGAACATAGAAGAGCAAGTATCTCTCTAGTAAAATATAAAGACCTTTGGATCTAGGCCCAAGAAAGTTATAGCTAAATCATATGGTAGATTTCCAGCCTTTTGAGGACTCTCTAACTGATTTACGTAGGGGTAACATTGTGAATATGTAAATGGACTCTCAGATTGTATCAGAAAACAGGATTCATTTTTTTTACTTCCTACAAGAAACAGACTTCACCATCAATAATTGACACCACCTTAAGATAAACAAATAGAAAAAGCTATTCCAAGCAAGTGAAACAAATAAACAAGCAGACACAGCTATTTTAATATCTGACAAAAGAGACCAAACCAAAACTAGCCAGAAGAAATGGGTAAGTTCATTTAAACTCATTAAAGAACAAAAAAATCCACAAAAAGAATATTATAATCCTGAGCATTTATGTACCAAAACACAGGACATTCAATTTCATAAAACAAACACTGTTAGATCTAAAAATCACAGACTGACAGAATGACCCCAACACAGTGATAGTATGTGATTTCCACATCATATTCTCACCGCTGCATCAATCATCCAAACAAAAACTAAATACAACTCTAGTGATAACTGACACCAGAAATCAAACGACTTATGGAGAATATTACATCCAAACACTAAAAAGTACATCATTTCTCAGCAGACTGTAGAATGTTCTATGAAACTGTCCACATATTAGGACACAAAGCAAATTTCAACAAATTTTAGAAAATGGAAATGATACCTCACATTCTGTTTGACCACAAAGAATAAATCTGGATATCAAGAAGAGAAATGGCCTGAGTACAGAAAAGCATGGAAACCAAACATGGAAAATTGGTGAGGTGAGAAATCAAGAAGAAAAATTTAAAATATCTTGAAATGAATGCAAATAAAAACACAATATACCCAGATATATGAATCACAATGAAAAGACAGTCCTGTGATGAAAGTTCATAGCCCCAATTTCCTACATCAAAAAATTAGACAGATATCATATGAGTATTTTACTGCTGTACCAAAGTATAATTTTTACCTGAGTAAAAAGTGTTTTGAGTACACTTTTGGGAAAAAGTATAGAAGCCAGCGATACTAAAAAACAGTAGAATAGAAGAGATAATTAAATTTGGTGCTAAAATTAATGACCCCACCTCACCTCCCTATCCAGCCAACTTCATCTCGTCCCCCTCTCTTTTCATTGAGTCCAGTTTGTGTTGACCAACTACTTCTGGTTGTGGGGCCCACCCAGGAGGGTGTTGGCACAGAAGTGTGTCATACCATTAAAGAAACCAGATTTTCCCTTTCCCAGAGACATACAAATAGTAGTAGCTCCTTAGCTAGGAATGGAATTTCCTGGCTTTCTCCACTCCTGCATCTGTGATCTTGTGTGGCTTGAGGTTGCACAAGCTTGTTCAGGCTCTTACATGATGCCTCATACTTGAAGCACAGAACATGGAAAAATCAAGCTTGTTCTGAACTGCAAATTTCATCCTTACTGGCTGACTCTCATAATGCTGGAGGGTTACATACCTGAAATGGATGAGAAAAGCAATCATCAGTCTTACTCAGATGTGAAACCTCCTAGAATAACTATAATTCCTGGAAAGATATGCCATGGTATAATAGTTGCACAAATGTTATTGGAGTAACCAACCACACTTTGCTTGGATTTAAGGCCCACTACATGAGATAGAACCTATACCTATACCTTACACAGAGTGATGAATATACTGTACATAGCATAGCAAAAAAAAATTGATTTATTTCTTTAAAATGTTATTTGTACTTAAGAGTTAGTTTCCTTATAAATAACTAGTAAAATGAACAAATCTGAAATTTAATAGGACAAATATATAAATATCTCCATAAATAAAAACAGTGAACAATAGGAATCTTCACTCAAATATGCTTGAAACTGAGACATGACAATGATGACTTACCAGCAAATCACAAGTGAATGAAATTAACTGGGTCGTTATCCAAGTTAGTAAATACAAGACAATAGAAAGAACTGTAAGTGTCCCAGATAGCACAGTCTTTACACCGGATTTGAATTTCTTACTGAGTCAGGCATAATAATGGCATGATAGCAAAGTTTTTAAAATTAACTCGATTGATATATTTCTATGTTTATACATGACATTAAATAATATTGAGGGTCTATAAAACATTTTTTGAATATTTGACTTTAGAATTGTTATTAGTCCTTATCAATTATTCATAAGGATGTTTTTAGGCACGTAGGTCGTGTGGTTTGAAGGCATTTTTTTCTCTTAGTTGGCCTGCCTCCTGTCCCCATCCCCTCCCCATACCCCTTTCATTTTCATGTTCTCTTTTATTTTCTTCATCTCTACATGTGAGAGAACCTATTCAGTATGATTCCCCCATTTGCTTATCTCACTTTGTAATAATTGGCAGTTCCAGTCACTTTCCTATAAATGGGACACTTTCAGCGTTCTTTAAGTCTTTGGTGTGTTTTTATGCCAGTTTCCACAGTCTCTCCGTACACTGATGAACACTGGGACGCTGCTATAATCGGATGTTGCTACCAGCACTGTGGTGAGCAGGAGTCAACAGCGGCTATCTTCGGTGCTGCCTCCACTGAGTAGTAAGTAGCACACACTCATCTGTGCCAGAGGAAGCATAGAAAGCCATACAGTAGTCCTGGCTTTTACTTTTATTTAATTTTTTAAATAAATGCCATCCTGATTTCCATTGTGCACTAAATTATCTTCCCATCCCAGGGAAAGCATCCTCTATCCAATTTTCACCAGCAATTGCTGCTTTATTTTCCTGAAGACTGACTTCATTTTCTTCTCAGTAAGTCTAACTGTGAATGCATCGATTCTATTACTGTTGTCAAACAGCCAATTCTAAAATCTTCCTAAAGCTGTCATAATAAATTCACACAAACTGCCTTAAAAGAACCAGAATTGAAAAAAAAAACAAAAAAAACAAAACAAAACAAAAAAAAGAACCAGAATTGACCACTTCAGACTTCTGGTTTCTAAGGGTCAGAATTCAAGGTGCTGAGAGAGCCAGTGCCCCTTGTCTTTGACTATGCTCTTTTCCTGGTGTGGGTCAGCTTAAGGGAAGAAGGTTTATTTTGGCTCATGGTGTCAGGGGACATCAGTCCATCATGGCATATGAGACTGTGGTGGCAACTGATTAAATGCAGTGTATCAGGAAGTGGGCATTTTGAGTCTTAACCAGATGTGGAGGTCTACTAGACCCATTTCTGCTTGCTAGTCTGCATGACCTAAAGATCCCATAACTTCTCTAGACAAACCTATCAGCTAGGGACCAAGCTACCAAACAAATTAGCCCATGGGGACATTTTGCATTCAACCTATAACCAACAAACAAAATGCTTCAATTTTAAATCATGGTCAAAAATTCTGTGTGCTCTATGATTGAACAGTTTTGATGCCTCCCGGCTTTAAAACCTCATCATTCTACAGATGGATTGTTTGACAAATGTTCATTCTTCATGACAGCTGTGGTATACTCCCCTCAGCAGTGAATACACGAAACAAGACAGCAACAGCTTACAAGTCCTGAAGCTGCAGACCTATTTGTGTGCCCAGTCTTTCTTTATATACAGTTTTCTCAGATAATAATCAAACATCCTACTAAAATAATAGTTTATAATCCCAATAATTAAATTAATCAGTAAAAATTATTGTAATAAAACAAACCAGTTTTTTGACAAGCCATTAAAATTTTGATTAAAGACCCACATATACTCAATTTTAAAGGGTCTGTGTCTCCCCCATGCCACCCTCCACCCCACACCCCACCCCACCAGCTCACCCTTTATTTTTACGTAAAAGCTCATTCTGCTACTGTGGGATACATCGTGTATTTACAAGTAGGCTATGTTTGAAGATGTTTAGGTCTTGCTATTGCTCTGTATATTTTTCTGTGCTCTGTCATGTGATATTAGGAGTCATTTGGTAAAATATCATGACGTGATTGCTATATAAGCCCATTTCCCTCTTTTGTTCTGTCAAATTTGCTCTGTATGCTTTGAAACTTAGTGATTGTATAAAAAATTAGGATTGTTTGATCTCATTGGGTGACTGCCACAGTTTTATCAAACTCAGAACCTTGTGATAGATGACAAGTCTTCCAACAATGAGCCATTCCCCCAGCTTTGCATGACTGCTCTTATCACTAAAAAATGACTTAGTTTGTGCTTACATCTGCTTTTATTTTTGCCTTTGCTCCTCATATGTGTAAGTAAATATAAAACTATGTTTTCTTGTTTTAACTTGTTCTGAAGGTTTTTTGCTTTACTATTTCACCATTTTCTCTTCAGCCATTAGTTTGCCAGTCTCATCCATAAGGTACCACACACACACACACACACACACACACACACACACATACACACACACACACACACACACGATTCATCCTTTCATGCATTCATTGAGTTATTTCTAACTTCCCTATGGGACCTAACATGGCCCTTCACCCAGTAAATTTCTTTTTCATTGTGATTTTTGTAGTATTTCTGTTCTTTCTCCTATGATTATATTCCTCAGTATTTGTAAATAGGTAAGATTAATGCTTGTATTTGCTTACAGGCCATAGTTTGATGAAGGGGAGGCCAATTGACTTTTTTCTCATAATAAATATTTACAGTAATATACATTAAGATGTAAATATTATTATAATGAAATTTTAAGTTTTATCACAGTAAAAGTTGAGTAACATAATAAAACTTAATGAAAGGCTTAACCCATTTCACTTATTTGGATGTACACACCACCTCACTGAGGGTGAGGACCAGCTCAAGCCTGACCTGTCCTATTCCAGTAGTGCCCAGCTGTTTTGCCTGCAGTTTCCAGTAACAGTGGGCTTATTCCACAGAACAGGTCACTGAGAGAATTCTATCTTTTGCACACCCACACCGGAGACAAATAGAACTGACCAAATCCTGGTGCATTTCAAATATTTTCCAAATCATTTGATGCAAATTCCTTTCCTACAATATCCCATTGTCATGTTTAAGTGAAAGAGGCAAACAAAACTCAGGCCTCTGACTCATGAATGTTCACTTTCTTCCTGGACTAAGTAGGCAGGGACAGGCAAAAATGTCCAAAGACTCAAAGTTCCTGTGAGTATATTTGAGTTTTTTTTCCCCTTTTAGAAGTGATTCTGCATACAACTGGGAGAAATAATGACCTGAAGTGTGTCCTCCAGTCTTCTTGGTCCAGCACTGAGATCTCCAGGACTTCTGGGTTTCCGGATATTCTGACTTTTCCAGGTTTTCTCATCTATTCATTTATTCTGAGAAAACAGTCCTGTCTTTCCACTCACTTGCTCTTAGAAATTTTTACAGTGAGCAACTGAGATTAAGAAGAATAAATATCATGGAGTCTAGAGGTTTGAACCGTCCTTAGATTGAATTGAACAGGACCATGATTCAGTACGTGTGATTTTCTGCGCATAGCTATACCTTATATCAGCATCGCCTACTCTATCCACTAATACAAAGAACAAATCTTAGTGTATTTTCAGTGCACAAAGGCTTAAAGTCTGTAAGATAAATGTTTAAAAAAGAATTTTAATATCTATCTTCTTAAAAATAAACACCTCTACCCCTTTCTTCCTTGAAAATGATGTTTATCTTTAATTCAAATAACTTCCAGATGGATTCTCCCCCACCCCGTTTTTAACTCACACTATGGGCTGAACGTTGATATTTCCCTAACACTTAGAAGTTGAAACTTAACTCCTACTGTGATAGTGTTAGGAGTGAGGTCTTTAGGAAAGGATTGGTTCCTCAAGTACAGAGTTAATATTCTTAATTTGTAAGAACAGCCAAAGATCTTCACTACTTCTCTGGTACATGCTGAAAATAGCCAGATGTTAAGGGGCACCCTCACAAGACATCTATAGCACTGACAATAACGTTTAGAATGATAGCATTTGACTTTACACACATATATATATGTGTATATATATATGCACATACATATATACACACATATATATTCCCATATAATGACATATGCATATATATCCATAAACACAAAAACAAACCTCATATATAGCAAGTTGAAGAATGATTATATCACAGGTGTTGAACTATCATATTGTCTAGTGATTCTAAATCAGTTTTCATACAAAAACCTGATAAAGGGGACCAGAAACATTAACAGTGGCAATAAAATAACAAACAGATGAGTAGAACAAAAGTCATGAAAAAGAATAATAAATCTCCAAAATAAACTATAAGGTTGATAAATTGCAACATGATTAATCAAGAAAAGAGACAAAGACACAAAGCAGAAGTCATCAATGTCAGGAATCAAGAATGGACTGCTACAGATTTTAGAAACTCTATATTTTCTAAGATAACACTGTGAAATGTTTAGACAAGTTCAGCAAATTCTATGAAATCACCATTATCAGTGAAGTAAGCACTGATAATAAATTCATAGCCAAATTTTTACCAAAAAAATCTCAAGGTCCCAATGCTTTAAGCAGTAAATATTTCTCTTATTTAAGAACTTAAA